GCTGGAGCACCTCAAAGTGTATGGCCATAGATAAGCCCACAACAGACCAGGTACACCCCTGGAGGGGCTACAGCCATGAGTAAGGCCATGTTGGAGCAGGTTTACTTCTGAAGGGACTGTGGCTGTGAAGTAAGGCCACGCTAGAGCAGATATATCTCTGAAGGAATTGTGGTCTGTGGATAAGGCTATGCTGGAACAGGTGCACCTCAAAGTAACTGTGGCTGTGAATAAGTCTACACCACCGCAGATATACCCCTGGAGAGACTGTGGCTCACAGATAAGGCTCCACTTGGAGCAGGTACACCCCTAAGGGACTGCAGTCTGTGGATAAGTCCAAGCGGGAGCAGGGGCAAGGGGAGGAGTTCATTGCAATGTTAAACCCGATAGCCTGGTCCAAAGGGACGAGGGATGGAGATTGTAATGGAAATACCTTTAAATTGTTGTAACCCATGATTTGAGTTGCATGTTATGGGAATTATTATAGCAGGAACCACCTGAAGCAATGGAGAACGAGTCTTACAAGAAGAAGCGCAAGTGCAGCAGTGACCTGACCTGAGCTGGCTTTGGTGCCCAGTAACTCCACGCAACACACCACCTCTCCTGTCCTGAGTGACCACCGTAACAGATAGAACCCCAAAGTCATGGACTAAATGAACTCAGTGGACATTTTACAGATATTTCACAGGTGCTTAGCTGCTGGCTGGGGTTAAACTATGACACGCACAAATAAAAATAAAGAACGTAACGTAAAGTACTTACAAAAAAAATGGAAAACCTATTCTATCCTAAAGTCTAAGTCCACTAACAACTGGAACTAGAAACAGCGCTGCATGCACAGCAGCAGGAGAGACTCCATATTTAGGCATTGGCAACAGGAAATAAGCAGACCCACCATACTCTTTTTCTCCTCTTACATATTGTCTATGGTGGAGCTACAACCATATCAAATGATGCTTTTAACCTATTTTTGCACAGAACAGTATGAGAATTTGTGGGGAATCCCAGAAGACTATTCCCTTTCTCCAATATCTTGCTTAAACACAACCTCCCCAAACTCTTGAATTCCTTCTGGATGCCCATCATCTAGCAAGACTAGCCTCACTGCAGACTGTAGTCACACAGTTCTTCCCCTTCTCCCAGGCTCAACAGGTTAGCTCCCTGTGCTAGGCTCTATCTTAAAATTATTCTATTTATATCCTCAGTAAGTTCATTTAAAACTCATGTGTTTGTAAATAAAGAGCTTTTCAGCTCACTGTGGATATTAAACTAAGAGGAAAACATGAAGAGTTTTTGAAACTCCTAATAACTAACATTTCTCTGCTGCCTTTCATCCTTTATTTCACAAGATCCCAGAGCACTTTGCAGATGTAAATACAGAGCTGCTCTCCCAGCAGTGAGATGCAGACAGTCCTGGGGTGGAACATGGCTGCTCTAGGACATGACTGCATCATTACAACTCCTCATCATGCTGGGCTCTCACTTTTGTCTGCCACCCTGTGGCTGTTGAACTGCACAACTCGAGCAAGCAAGTACCGTGCCTACTGCCCAGAAAGAGATGTCTCATACACGTCAAGAACTCCGCCAGTGCGGATGGCTCATTTTTCCATAGTCAGGTACTTGCAACCAATTAACACAAGTGGTAGAAGTGAGGAAAAGAGCTATTTTCAACTGAGCCTCCCCAGGAAACACTCAGAGAGGCCACTGCTACTTCTGGGTTCAGCGAACAGATGAGAGTTAATGGCTCTGCCCCAGTCATTAAATGCACCGTAGTTTTAAATAGAAACTGTTCTTTGAGAGATGGGTTGGCAAGCTTGATTCAGAATCTTCGTTATCAATGCCAGCGCATAGCCCATTTTTAGCTGAGGAGATTTAGTTTTGATTCCAAGTAAAGGATGCCACCTACTGAATCCTTGCTACCAAGATTGCATGCTTTGACCCTCATGACTCAAGACCTCTGGCAGGATCACAAGCCAGACTGCAGTCCCAAAATAAATTCCAAGGAAAAGCAGAAAACAGGCTTGAAAAAACAAAGCTTTTTCTCACTGCTCCTTCTCCCCACAACCCAAAGATGTATTACTCACTGAACATCTGCACAGCCATAACAACTTCTAGTTTTGCAACACTGACAACCTTAGCAGTATTAAAAAACCTCCTTACATCTTTATTCCATTTTTGATGCATTGTAATACAGTCTGACAATATATGCTAGTACAGTACATTCTGCAACATTTAACCCCTGTTCCCAGTTCCCGTTCTTAACTTCATGGCTTAATGACATGGAGTCAGTAGATCATGATACGACCCTGTTAATATTTTTTTAATGCCATTTTTACAAATTACAGCATAATGCACTGATTATGAGGATGAAAGGAAAGTCTCTACGTCTGTCTGGAAACCAAATAAAAGAATGTTTGAACATCTGTTCATCCTACAAATGTCTTTAAAAGCTTTGATTTTCCCATAATCATTTTGTTCCACCATTTCACCCTTTTTTGAATGTGTATCCAACAGCCTCAGGACAGCAGCCAAAGATCTGCAGTAATAGCACATTATAATCAAAGTTCTTGGGCACACTTAAGTTCTCCTTTTGGAATTAAAAATGGGGGGGGGAACCACAAAACCAAACCCCAGTCTTCAGCAGATACCTCCCCAGCTGTCTGTCCTACACAAACCTCTGCTAGGGGAGCAAAATGAAAGGACAGGGCTTTGCAACAGGGGCCTTACATAGAGAATTACAAAGCACAAGGACAGGATATGGTGGCAGGTGAAAGGACTCAGGTGAGGCATGCATGCCTCCACACAGCCTGCTCCTACTGGGTCAGTAGTAGCTGTCCACGACACTCTGCCCAAGTCACAACCTAAGTGCCTGAACATGGGCGGTTTCTCACTGGACACAGAAGCTGGTGTAAGCTGCGGGGCAAGAGCCTTCCCCACCATGCTGGGCTCCCAACACCTGCCGTGAGAGCCCTGCCAGCACCTGGATTTACATCTACTTCACAAGAGGCAAAAGCAGAGCCAGAACAAGGAGAAGCAATGAACAAAGATGGGAATAGGAGCGCTGAGGAGGAGGTTAGGTCTTGGACTGAGAGGATGGAAGAAAGATGCTGAGTTAGTACGCTAGTCTGGAAATGAGACAGAAGAGGGTGAGAAAGATTTTAAAAAGCGTATTACAGGAGGCTGGACAAGAAAGAGCTGGAGGTCCAGCTCTGGAAGCTGTTGCTGCTCCCTCCCTTGGAGTACCCCCAAGCAAATAAACCATGGGACCCTCAGCACTAGAAGACCTTTCAGCCAAGCAGAGGGCTGCAAAACTAAGTATTCAGGACTAATGAGTTTTCAAATGGATCAAGTTCCGTAACAACTGACTCACTGATCCTGCTATGAGCAATCCACAGTGTAGAGGGGAAAACATTAGTCAGATAGCGCTTTGTAAAAATACATACCACCATTTACACTGACAGCCTCCTCTCCAGAACTATTCAAAAATGCCTTACAAATGAGAAAGACAAAAACCTGTAAGTGCAAGATTAACAACTCTGGAGCAGCCAACAGTATCCTACAGCAGGACGCCTCGTGATGACTGCCCTTTTCCTTCCAGAACTCCAAGCAGAGTTGGCAGAATTTAGTGACCCATTTAAAATTCAGCAAGGACATTAGAACCATACAGATAAAAATGTAAGTTTCTTAATTTCACCTTTGATTTTTTTTTTTTTTTTAAATGAGAGGGCTTTTTATACCAATAATTCTTAGACTAACCTGGGATGGTAATAATGGCATTCCTTCTATATCATCTGTTTCTCTAGCTTCCATCACTGCAGTATCTTAAGCGGAGGTAAACAGTACAGGGTACAAAACAGGATTTGATAAAGGCTTAAAAGAAAGATAACATAATAAATATTCTTTCTAAAGACTGCCTTTGGGGGTGTCTGGGAAGAGGAGAGAAATGGGGAAGGAGAGGTGACACGGGTGTGAAATGCATTTTTTTCATTACAGAAAGATACATTTTCCAGAAAGGCTGGCAGCACAAGTCACATTAAGCCATAGCTGAAGTTGCCTGCCTAATTCCTCTGGGATCACACTGAAAGCATACCCCATAATCTTAAGGGATGTGCTAAAGCTTTGCCAGGACTCACTCAGCAGAAACTGTTTGGGATTATTCCACAAAGCACTAATTCTGTTCTGATTTAAAGGGGCACCATCAAGCTAGTTTAGACACCAGACTTGCCCTGTCTCATGACTGTCCAGCTGTAAATACCCTCTCAATAGCTGATATTTTTGCCATTTGTATCCACTTTGGTTACCTGGAAATTAAAAGGAAAAGAAAAGACTGATAAAAACAGGATCACGTTAGCACGATGGACTCATGCCCATCAATGGATATTTGATTAATAACACTTTGAGTGTTACTAATAATCTAATTATAATAATGTGATTAAAAAGAATGAGTGTAGCAATCTATTACAGTTATTTACTTCCACCTCCAACTAATGCACTTACATTATACATGTGGTCATCTTCCATGGCTGGTTTCAGCAAATGGGTCACAGGCTGCTATTTAACATCAACAAGCAGAAGTAGTCTTTTTATTCAAAAGGCAGGAACTAACATTTTCCATGCTGCCCAGCCTGAGTCCAATTTCTGTTTGTTCCAGACTGCAGCTTTTGTACCTGTGGAAGTATTGTTAGTTTTCATGTTAAGGTGTCTTATGTTTTGTAAATAACAAGAAGGGATATTACCAGTGCTCTCCTTTTTATGAGCCTAGGACATGAATTGAGAGGAAAAACTAAAGCAGCCATGAAATCCCTACTAAACAACTAATGGTTTCTAAAGCATCTTGGAGATACTCATTTTACAAGGCTTATGCTGCAATCTTCTATCGTTATTTTAATGAAATAAAGCCCTTAACTATTTCCAGAGGCAACTTTTTCTTTCACACACAAAAGACGTTTTGGTTACAAAAAAAGAAAATGATTCTGGAGTAGGATTCACCACAGAACAGGCAGGAAATTCAGAAAAGCTCTATAAAACGTCACTGAAGATAGGTTCTGAACCTTTGGAACAGCAAACAGAACAATTAAGACTCTCAGTTACATGCATCGTTATGTTTAATATGAAAAACATTTCTAGATATAAATCATATTTATAAAAAAGATCCATACCATCTCTCAGATAGCATCTTACATAGTTGCAGCTGAAAGAATGTGAAACATCCATTTTAGGTTTCACCTATTACATCGTGTGCTTTCTGTCCCCCACTTTGCTTGGGGAAGTAAATCTAGACTAATCGGCTTCACTTTGTGGGTCGCACGAAATTCACATCTTGACTAGATTTAGATTAACACTGGTGGCAAACTTTTAAATCAAGAGCAACTTCAAAACAGTTCTCCAGAAAAACACCGCTATTAGAACACACACCCAAATGTGCTCATCCGGGAGGTGACATTCTCCGAGAGACCATAAAGATTCACATCACAAAGATGACAAAATAAGTAGATTTTAACAAAACAAAACCAGATTGCAGAGATTTTGGAAGGGGGCACAGTCAGCAGAAGCTTCCAGGCTCTGTCTGTGAGGAAAGAACAGGTCTAATGTGTTCAGACAAGAAACACGTTCCACCTGAGTTCATTTCAGAGTCTGGTCTTTCAGGTGCGATTAGAGGCCTCCACTTTCTCAGGATTGAATCATTTTCTTCTGTGTGTCAAAGACATATCTTTTAAACAGAAGAGAGATGGTCACAGGTTGGGCTGAATCATTCTTGCTGCTTTCATCCTCTTTGGTTGTATCCCCCTTCCCTGCCTTAGATTTCTTCTTGGAGGCAACAGTAAGAAGCATCTTGGTATCTGGCTTCAGGCCATCTGTAAAAAACGAGAACACACAACAAACGTGCTCAACATCACATTTCAGTATAACTGGAAAAAAATGAACAGGCAAGTATACTTCTGAAATCAACCAAAGAAAATAAGAAAGTAAATCAGGTGCATTAGGAAAGTCACATTTCTGCATCACGCTTCTGGAATATGGTAACTCACATGAAAAATCAGAGAAGCCTTCGAACATAGTTCACAAAATTGATACCCCAAATCCAGTGCAGTATCCTGGCTGCATCCTTCTACAGCTTTTAAAGTCTTAGATACAGGCAAAAATTTAAACAAGCCAGACCAACTTGCCTGCTCTAAGCCTTTTACTCAGCAGACCTTTCCTATTATTTACACACATGTCCCAAAGCTTCTTCTAATTGCTAACAATACTTATAAAAATATGTCATGAATGAAAAACAACTGGTAAAATACTAAAATTATATAGAGTCCTAAGAGTCAGAAGGTTCTTGAGTGTCTTTAGTCTATTTCCCAGACCTGCCAGAAGCACACTGCTTAGGTTTTAACAAATTATACAGTTTTGTGTTTGTTTGGGATTTTTTGTTTGGTTGGTTTCTTTTGATAAAACACAGTATTCATTAAGGGTTTCAACTGTCACTTCTTAGGGGAACTAGAATTAACCTGCGTAGGATTCTGGGGATCCAACTTAAGTCTTTCTCCAGACATTTGTACCAAACATAAATATTTGTCCCTTTCTTCCTAAATAGCTACGGTTTATTACACTTTTATATTTTCTTTTAACTTGACACATTGGTGACATTTTAGATAGGAAATGCAAGATAGCAAAGTCCAAAGAAACACTGTAAAACGAGAGATGCAGCTCCTAAAAGACCACTCCTGAAGAATTGCTTGCTCAAAGCAGAAGACAGCAAACTCCTTGGAAGCTTATTCAGCGCCAACCAAACACACTGCAATGTGGTTCTCAGGCATTTGGCCAAATTCAGTTCAGGTATTTTTAACCTGTGGTGTCACATAACCTTATCTCAAACACTTAATCAGCTTCTCTCCCCTCATATTGAAATTCAGATGCGGATTCTTGTATCGCAGCCTGACAAAAAGATTGAGATGCTTATGATTTACTGGAGACAGGAGGTCTACAAGCACAGGTGATTTGCTCCAGCACAGACACATCTAGAGGCACTTACAGCTGACTGCAGGGGGACACAGCACCAGAGCCCACCTTCTCATCTTGCTGTGTCAGGTAGCAAATTGTTCAGGCAGCATCCCCACTGCACAGCAAAGGGAAGGGAGGAAACGAGGAAGCGTTGAAGCAAAACCAGGAAACTGCCAATTTGCCATTCCATAGCCAGGGGTTATGAAACAGCCCTAGTGCCCCGCAGCGCAGCCACGGGGAGACTTTTGGAGCTAGAGGGGTCTTGCTTTTTTAAAAGAATGCAAGAGCACAAGAGAAGAAGGTTTCATTATGAAGATAATTGAGACTGTTTTCTTGATGGTTGAGAAGTCTGATAATTACTATCTTTGCACATGTAAGGTTCAATTAATCAAACTAGATAACATGGTCTGGCCTGACCACATATTTATTATATGGTTTTATTACACTGTATAGTCATGTTTGATGCAGCTGTTTCCATTTTTTAATTGGATGCTTTCATATAAATCCCATTAATATCATTAGCCTTACAATCACTCCATCTTCATTATGAAAAATAATTTATCATTACATGAAAAGCAACTTATTTGCTATTTGGAAAGCTCTGAGAACATCTTGGGTGCTGCTAGGAAAAAAAAGCAATAAATTACATGAAAAGCAACTTATTTGCTATTTGGAAAGCTCTGAGAACATCTTGGGTGCTGCTAGGAAAAAAAGCAAATAATCCAAAGAAAAAAAAAAAGGAAAACAAAATAAAAACAGCAAAAAGAGTGACCTCACACAGCCCTGCTCTCTACCTTTACAGACTTTATTTCATATTGTATGTTTTCTACTGTTTTGATCAACCTAATTGTAAGTGTCCCTGAACAGGGTTTCCTCCACTTTCCTGGGAAGACCATTTATTTTTTTGGACAAAGAAACATTCCGTTTTACTTTCTAGTTGGTTTCCCTTTCTAGGTCTTATCACTATTACTAATGTTGCTGTTACTGGCACATTACTGTTTAAGAAAGATGTTTAACTAAATCCTTTCAGAAAGACACACTTTAATTAAAGCAAACAAATCCTAAAACACTTCTATTTATGTTAGTAGGCTTCGCGAGACTCTAATTTCCAAAAAATGCTAATTGGCGGAAAGGAGAGAGGAAGGGAGGAGATGTGGCATGAAAATTGCAGCCAAAATTTTCCCGTGTGGGTATCTGAAGCAAGGCACCTAGTCTGCTACTGCAAACCCTTGTCTGCAGCCCACAGGGGCGCAGGGCAGTGATGCCCCCCGTGCGGGTCAGCCTCTCGCCCCGGAGCACACACTCAGCTGCAGCAGCAAGTGGGGGAACTCCCAGCCGTGAGGATGAAATAACCACTCTGGGTAAACCGAGCTCCAAAAACTGCCAGTGACATCAATGAGCACCTTGGACTGCCCAACACATCTGAAACCCGGTACATCTTCTTAGGTGTTTGAACAAAGAATCTCGTGTTTGAAAAATTTCATTTTCAAGAGAAAAGGTTATGCTGCACATGGAACTGTACGGGGGAAAAATGTATTTAAAACTGAGTAATCTCACCTTCTCCACCCTATCACTAACTCCCACGTATGGAGAAGTAAAGATATAGCTCACCTGCAGCCCTTAACACATATTTGGATTCAAATACAGTATTACAGGTAAAAAGTTTACAGAAGAAATGGAAGAACGTGGTAGTTCCTACCAGTGAAATGACGGGCTGACAGCCAAAGGCAGCTCAGGTATTATTAAATTCACAAGGTATCTAAATTACCTAATCAGATCCCACGGCCCTCATTCTGCAAACAGATTAGGTGGCTGGCATCGTACCCTAACAAATCGCATTTTCTGTTTTTCTGCTCTGGTGCCAGGAGGTCTAAGGGCTGAAGAGGCTCTGTGATAGGGAGCAGCACAAAGGAGCAGGCAGGGAGAGACAGGCGGGGAGGCACAATCGGGGTTTCATCTACCTCCACGGATTTCTCGCGTTACACACAATGCATACTTTACATTTTACAAAACCAAGGAAATGAAGGGAAATATATCTGTCACCGAAGAAGACATCAGACCTTTAATAGCTGAAATGACGGATATTTTTAGATGGAGGTCTAGTTTAACTTACTTACATTAAGGGTCTAATCTCTCCTGAACAATAGCTATGTTAGCTTGAATACATAGTGAGAAATCTGTTCCATTAATTAAGTGCTGCCTGTACTACTCGGATTTGTAGCAAACGTTAATAGATTTTTTTTTTCTTCCTCTGTTGGACAATTACTTTATTTTGCCAGGTTGCTAATGGATTAAATTGAAAAGGTCCGCGTGTTAAAAAAAGACTTTAGCTTCAAAGTTCTAAGAAATGCCTTGTATACAACAGTGGGAAATACCTATGTATTAATATTATTAATGGGCAGTCCTCAGAGGCACATAAGATATCTGAAAGCTTAGCAAATTCATTCCCACCCATCATAACCATGTCTGTAACAAGAAGTGCCCAGACAGGTCTTATGTAAAATGTACTTGGAGCATCAACTAACCCAGGTTAGATATGAAAATCTAGTTGTAAAATAGTTTAATCCACTTCATTCTTTTATTTTCAACTACTGTTAATAATTAACAAATAAGAATACAGACTCTTAACATAATATCCTTTGTCTCAGCATGGTCTCAAGGATTTAATGCAAACTGAGCCATTTACAAATGCAAAAAAAGTGAGTTTTTAAATTCAAATGAAAAGTGATACTTCATGGGGAAAAATATTTTCCAAGTGTAAGAGCAGTTTCACGTGCACAAAAAAAAGGATAAATGCAATATTTTACACAATTTTCCCAAATAAATGCTAGCTTCTTAGCGATTTGCAGTATCTTATGTAGTTAAACGCATTGCAGCCTGGAGTTTTACAATCACTCACGCAAGAAGTTTGCATAAAAACATGCAGGTTTTCAATTACTTCATATGGACATTTCACATTGTGGAATTCTGGACCCTTTCTTGTTTATAAATATAGGAAATAAATTTTGCCCCCCCCTCCCCCCCCAAGATATGAGTATCTACACAATTTTTAAGGTTTCTCTAATGCTTCATTTTCTCCTTATGTTAGTCAGGCCTCCCTGTAACAGGGGCTCAGCAAAGCCTCGTGATACACCCCCCCCGCTGACCCTGGTGTCACTGCCTCAGGCCCGTGGACAGTCTCCATACCAGACTGCTGGGGAGTGCTGGCCAGTAGACAAATCACAACAAACACACGTAAAGCATAGAAATGTCCATAACCAGCACGGTTTACTTTTGCTTCAGTTGGAAGGAGGACGAAAGCTGATACAGTATCTGCTCTTCTAATTCCTTTTGCTAATCCAACAGCAGGACGAAGGAGCGCTGCTGTGCTTTTTCCCCATATACATTTTTATTTCAACTGTTACCTGTAAGCTTGGATCCTACTTTACCTTTTACATAACTTCCCCACTTCACATCCTCTGTCACTTAATACTGTCATTCCTTATCAACATCCTCTGTCATCTTTGTTGTCTTTTGTTTGTTTTGGTTTTGCTTATTAGCCTTCTGCTCCCCTGCTCTTCTGCTCCTTGAAAAGATCTCCAAGGGTGGTCTCTGCTCTTTCTCCTAAAGTCCAGCTCTTTCTTCCTTGACTCCCAATTCCACTTGCTAGTGTGCCCTTCAGGAGTTTTATCTCTCTCTTTCGTTTCCAACTTTATTTTTCAGGTTTCCCAACTCCGTATTTCCATTTCCTATTTCCACAGATCTCTTCAATATTTAGGAATAGTCCTTTCTCCTTCAAAGCTAATGAAATGTTGTGTTTGAATGGAAGATTTTAAAGACCGAATGCCAGACACATTGTAGATGAGAAGCAAGATAATACAGTATC